TGCCCTTTATTTTCCACGATATTGCAGGCGCTCCCGCACTTCAGGATACAAAAACCAACCACATATGTGTTCTGAACGTAAAAATATAAAAACTGCTGACTAACTAAAAATAAGAGTTAACTTGAGTGCTCTACACAAATGACTAACGCTAAGACTGTCCTTTTAAATTACTACGCACGTAGTACGCAAACTGCGAGAAACTACAATATGTCTTTAGCTTTCAAGAGGATTAAAACCTCTGGCCTTAAAGGCAGACAGCAACTGATTGAAACTCGCGTGAAAGTATGGTCGTAAGAAGGCTCACTCTCTCCCTAACTCTGCTCTTGGCAAAAAGCCACAACTTAAATAGTTGGACATTAGGAAGTACAGTTTGCATAAACAAATTCACGCGTTAAATTCTGGCCGGAAGTGAAAAATAAGAGAGGACAGTACAGTTTTAAAATAAAATAAATGTTAGTAAAACTTAAGACCCTTACAGTAGTTATACCTGAAAAACTCAAGCCGTCAATTATGAAAATATGCCATGAAGGAACTTCGGGTCATTTGGGTGTCAAAAAGACCAAAGACAGACTTGCTAGATATTTTTATTGGACGAGGTGTTACAAAGAAACTGAAGATTTTGTAAGAACCTGCGATGCTTGTCAGCGCGCTGGGAAAGGAAATGACAAAAAGAAGGCTCCAATGACATTAGTACCAGTAATTTCCGAAATATTCACTAAAATAAATGTCGATGCCGTTGGTCCGCTACCTATTTCAAAGACTGGGAAAAAATATATTATTACAGCTCTGTGTATGTCGTCCAAATATCCAGATGCTGTTGCGGTGACAGACATTTCTTCGCCATCTGTGATTGATGCTTTCTTACAGATTTTTCAGTCGTATGGGATTTCCCAAAAGTGATCCAAACAGATCAGGGGACCTCTTTTCGTCAGTGCTTTGACAGAGGAATTTTTGGAGCGTTTCGGCATTAAACATGTAAGAAGCTCTGTGTATCATCCGCAGAGTAATCCATTCCATAGAACGCTAAAAAGGGTGTTAAGAGTCGTATGTATAGGAGCGACTTCAGATTGGGAGAATTATCTACCATCAGTTTCTTTTTGCTGCTCGCAGAACAGTCACACACGAAAGCACTGGTTTTACACCAGCAGAAGCTAGTTCATGGCAAAAACCTACGAACGCCAGTCACTTTACTTTATGAGCAGTGGCTAGAACCGACTTGAAGAAAGTAAGTAATGTTGTCAGTTACGTTTTCAAACTTATTAATCGAATGAAGAAATGCCAAGAACTTGCCGTGAAAACCATGAAAGAAGCTCAACAACGGAGAAAAACGTAATACGATCGAAACGCAGTGAAAAGAGAATTTGCTAAAGGAGATTTAGTTCTTGTTTTATCTGCGAATCATCAAAATAAACTAGACGTACAATGGAAAGGACCTGGACAAATAGAGCAGAAAATTTCAGAAACCAATTATATTGTAAGTTTCGAGGAACAAAATGATCCAAATCAAGTATATCACATTAACATGCTTAAACCATATTACAAAAGACCAGAAATGATTAATATGATAACTGAAGTGGAAGGAGACTTAGAAATGGACATTCCTCGTGTACCTTCCAATCCAAGTATATTAAATTTCTCGGACATCATAGAGGAAAATGAACTCGAGAAAAGGTTGAAAAGGTCCGAGCAAATAGAAGATTTACGAAAAGTTTTACGGAAATATTCTGGTTGTTTTTCAAATAATCCTGGACTAAGAAACTTAGTTTGTCACGATATTGAGCTATTAAATAACGAACCAATACAAATAAAGCCATGCAGACTGTCACCCCGACAGACTGAAATTCTCAAAAAGGAAATTCAGAAAATGCTCGATCTCAAAATTTTATATACAATATCTCTTAGCGTATGTAACCAAGTTTATAATTTATTTTATTATTTAATGTATGCTCAACTGATGTATTTGAACGTTCTCCATTTTCTTTCTATTTAAATGTGTAAGAGTATTTGTTTAAAACTCAAAAGTTTTGTCCTGAAGTTTGTTAACTTATGAGAGAAGGTACCTTTTCTCTTCAAGTAAATGAGAAAGCCGAGCTTATAAACTTTCGAATTTTACAGAAATTTTCCCTTCGGAAAAGTCTCTCCGTTGGGGAAGAGGTTGTAACAGCTTTAAATATTGTTATTAAAATCTTGTAATTTAAAATAAATAATTTAAATAGATGAACATTAAGATATATGTTAATGGCAATGTTTGAAACGCAGGCTCGAGTGCCACGTGTGGCTCCCACACGAAGAATGAAGAATGTATTTATTTTTATTTTAAAATGTTAGAATACGTTTTCTCTTCTTGTTTGTATGTCGATTTCTTGAGTGTTAAATAAAAATTATTGCTGTGTTCCATCAATGGAGTTCTATCAAATTGCAAAAGAAGTATCACAATAGCTACGGAGGTTTCGTGGAAATGTGCGGGTTCTGAGAATTGTCCCTTTCGACGTCCAGACCCTCGTAGCGGAAACATATGTAATTGGGACTTTAGGAAGTTGACATTTTCCTTAAGATTTTGTTTTATTCACTGCAAGAAATAATTGTGGAAAACTTCGCTGAATCGATACTGCAAAGCGAATTTCTGTTTAAGTAAATATGAATTCATCTTTTTCCAATAAAATTTGCTTTACTTCACATTATTATACAGGAAGTATCACAATAGCTACGGAGGTTTCGTGGAAATGTGCGGGTTCTGCGAATTGTCCCTTTCGACGTCCAGACCCTCGTAGCGGAAACATATGTAATTGGGACTTTAGGAAGTTGACATTTTCCTTAAGATTTTGTTTTATTCACTGCAAAAAATAATTGTGGAAAACTTCGCTGAATCGATACTGCAAAGCGAATTTCTGTTTAAGTAAATATGAATTCATCTTTTTCCAATAAAATTTGCTTTACTTCACATTATTATACAGGAATATAGCGCTGTATGGAAACAATTTTGTTTCTTTTAAATGTTATTTCACAGCATTTTAAGTGTCACTAGTGTTAGCGAGCCTTTTCCCCGGTCCTTTGAGATAATAAGCTTCACTTTGAATGAATAATTTTAAAAGTTTAATGCTCAGGATGACCTAAGCTCTTGCCTAAATTTTTAGACTGAGTAATTACAATATAAAATAAGCGAAGATTTATTATGACTTCAGCTCGAAGTACAGAATTAGCGCAAATAACTTCTGCTTCTTTCGAAATAGAAAGACAGCGATTATTCAATTATTTACAAGTTAAAAGTTTAAATTTAGGTGTTGAAAGCTTTGCTATTCCAATGCTGTTCATGAAATTTTCAAGTCAAAGAAAACAGACTAACTGTCAGCATTTGTGCTAACGGCCACACTATAACAGAAGAACTTCATTCTTCGAATTCTGCTACACTTCTCACTTAAACTTAGATTCTTAGCATCTTAAAAACTCCTCTCAATTACCCATTCTAGTGGAGTAATGGAAAAAGAAGATAGATTTTAATATGCGATACACTGCGTTATTTAAAATACTTGAAAAATTTCATAGTTTTTCTTATTCATTCTTCGTTTAATCACAATTTTCGTACAAACATCGAGCCCTGTAAGCTGCAATATTTATACCAATGAAAACTGAAACTGAAATTTTAAAGAAATTTAAAAATGGCCGAACGTAATTAAGAACTGCAATGGAATACATTATTCGTCTTCACTACATTTTTGCAAAGTAAAGGCAAGATTTAAAGGCTTTCTAAAGATCAGAATCATCACAATGAGAAACAGCTTGGCTTTAGAACGCAATTAACTGGCTTTAGAATGCGATCAATTTATTAAATTTGCTGTCTAAAAATGGTTGAAGTAATTTCGTTCAGAAATATTTAGAAAATCAGTTCTCAACAAGCAGCGGTCAGTTAGATTGTTTCAAATACGTATTTCCACAGAAATGGTGTTCCACTGTTATGTGATAAAATGTCTACAAAAATGTTTGTATTAAAAAGATTTTTTGTTGCTGTTGTTTTAATTTACTTTTCCCCGATAAATTCACACTTGCATAACTCAAACTAAATCTCATATGTCATCTCGTGTAGACTTACTTTTTAGTGTTAGTAACAGTAGTAAACGTTGTTGAAAATTTTATAGAATATCAACAACAACAGTGGTGCTTCGTTCTAATGCTAATATCTAGAAGATGTTGCTAATATCTATCTAGCTAATATCTAGTTCTATCTATCTACGTTTGGCTTTTTGCTAGTGAAATAGACTGAATCATGTAAACAATTAAAGCAGATATTTATTCAATACAATTTTTCACTTGTTATCGCTGCCAGACATACGAAGAAGCTCTACGATTCTTATGCTAATTAACCACCTAAGCACCATTAAAGACATCTAAGCAGTTATTACGATTTTAATCTTTACTTATAACTTCTTCTTTCCGTATTCCTCACCAGAACGAAAATTAGATTTTCGAGTATATAAGCAGAGGGTTTTTAATCTTAGAGAGAGAGAGTTTATGTCATTTGCGACGTACTGCTAGAATTCAGCCAGCTTTCTAGAAGTGATTTTTATCACAGCTGATATTTTTAAGACAGTAAGACAGTTGAGCCAGCTAGTTAGTTTATTGAATGGGTAGTCTTAGACTACTTTATTCAACGTTTAAATTTATTTGACTGTTATTACTTAATTTAAGTCGCCACGAGAGGTTGTTTGCCTGTAGCACAAGTAGTGACTTTTATGTTAAAATTTCAAATTAAATAAAAAAGTTATTTAAAACATTCTAAAGTTCTTGTCATACTACTTCAGACTTAGCGATAACTCACTAACTTATCTAATAGGGTTGTTAGACTTAACCTAGTTTTCAGATAAATAGCAACTTTATAATGTTATAGATATTTAAGAAATTTATTTAATAATTCTTAGAGGATTATGATTTATATTTTGCCTGCTGTAACTTTATTAATGAACTTTCTATTATTCTAAACTAAACAATTTTCTGTTATCCCACAGAGGCACACAGCCAGCTCTGCACAGCCGGTAACTTGACAATCAACGAATGTGATCTGAGAAGAGATCTTTGCGAAAATGGCCGTTGCATCGATACACCATCTTCTTACAGATGTGATTGCAACAGGGGTTACAGAGGCCAGAATAATGACAAAAAATGTGTTGGTAAGTCAGTAATTTGTTCTTAAATTTTTATATTAATACAGAAAAAGAGTAATGAATGCGAATTAGATGTAAGCAGTAATCAGCAATATTGAGGAAATGTTACTATTTCCCGATTTCGCCGTGATATCTATTTAGTTAATGTTAGTTTGTTTACATTATTTGTCAAAAAATATATCATTTTCAATGTAGTAAAGTGATAAAATGATTAGTGATATTGTTCTTTGGGCTGAAATTTCAAGCCTTTAACTATTAAAAACTCTGTACAAAGTAATTAAAAAGGCCTTAGCACATTTAAAGGATTAATCCTGGAAAATGTATAAACACTGAAGATGAAGTTTATTGCCAGCGGATAATATAAATCAAAAGAGTTTTTTTTTATTTTAACCTTACCTTTCTTTGTTATTAAACATATTGTCACCACAAAAGTTAACTTAAATTTTGAAAATGTTTTGATGTCTTTCAGATTTCTCATTTTCGCTGAAATATCTTTTGGCAAGATTTATAGGACATTTCTTCAGTACAATAATATTATTTAAAGAGGAATTTAAACACGAAAACGCATAAAAGGAATGTTTCAGTAAATAAATTAAGAGAAACGGTCCAATCTGATAGACAAACCACCCAGTTCTAGTTGAATATTAGACGTGTTTCGAGAAGCGGAAGGTTCACACACTTAAATCTGGCAATAATACGATGAAAGCTTTTTTTAATTGCTAGAACAATATCTGTAAATTTCGTCATTGCTTAAGATTTTTTTTCAAGGTAGAGTTTAATGTATTCAAGAAATTTTAAGCATATTCCATAATTTGTATAGCTTACAACAGGACAATTCCGAAGTGCTTAGAATTGAATGACATATATGGAAACTCTTAAAGCAACACTGTTACCTCAAATATGTCGGTATCACAGGAAAAAGTACATAGTGCCAGTGTGTGTATAAATAACTTATATCCCAAATCTGATCATTCTTAATAGAGGCGGTACTGATAAATCTTCATTATTCCAAAATCTGTAAGGTATATAACAAAAGAGTAGTGCTTGTAGAGATTATTAAGAATCTGTTATAACAAAACCATCAAAAAGACACTGAAACTCTTAATCTAGATAAATGTTTGTCATAAGGTCAACAATGCACTGGTGTGCAAAAATTAAGGACGAAGTCGAAAAATTAGCATATCAGCTGAACGAAGAGGCAGAGCGGACAGAAAGACCAATCAGGAGATTAAGTAAGGTGATGTACGGTAGCACATGCGCAGATATGCAGGTAGACGTAATGGGGGAGTGTCTGAGTAGTATAAAGCATGTTGTCGGTGTAAGATCAGTATTTCTGGCAAAGAGATTGCACGCCGTATAGCAGTTAAAATCACACCGAGTTGCTGCCTCAGCGAGAAATGGCGAATAATCAATCTGTTAGACGACATCTGGATGCTTTTACCCGAGGTCGAATCATTGGGAAGTTGGAGGAAGGCCGCAGTGTGACAAGTGTGGCTGCAGAGTTCGGAATTGCTCACAGCATCGTTTCAGGACTTTGGAGGCAATTTCAAACTACAGGAACAGCTATCCAGGGGTTTAGTAGTGGTCGTCCACGAGGAACCACACCCGCAGATGACCGGTATATTGCCTTACAGGCCAGAAGAAACAGGCGGCAGATAGCGGGAGAAATCGCTAGGAACACGACACAGGCGACTGGATGACCGATATCGCGTTTTACCGTGGCTAGAAGACTGCACGGTGGTGGTCTGTTTGCAGGACGCCCTGTACGGTGTGTACCTCTAACGCCTGCCCATCGGAGAAGGCGTTCTCTGTGGTGCCGGGAACACCGGAATCGGAGAGACAATGAATGGGGACGAGTACTCTTTACAGATGAGAGCAGATTCAGTCTGAGTAGTGATTCTCATCGCATACTCATCTGGAGAGAGCGGGGAAGCCGCAATCATCCCTCGAACATCATTGAAAGGGACAGGTATGGAGGTGGCAGTGTTTTCGTTTGGGCAGGCATCATGCTTGGTAGTCGTACAGAACTTCACATCTTCGACGCAGGTTCAGTCAACGGGACCCGTTATTGTAACGAGATTCTTCTTCCATATGTGTGTCTTTTTAGATGCGCTATGGGTCCGCAGTTTCTTTTTCATGGACGACAATGCACCATGTCATTGCACAGTAGCTGCCGAACAGCTCTTAGAGAGTGAGGATATTGAACGTATTGATTGGCCGGCACGATCTCCGGATCTCAATCCCATAGAGCATGTATGGGATTTTCTAGGCAGACGCTTGGCAGCTCGTACCTTACCACCAGTAACGATTCCGGAGCTTCGAATGGCGCTGCAAGACGAATGGGCAGCAATGCCTCAACAACTCATTGACACCCTCATTCTCAGCATGGACAGACGCTGTGAAACCTGCCTAGCAGTCAGGGGAGATCATATCCCCTATTAAAGACCGGATGTTTCTTGCTGGACACCCATCACAGGGATGTTTCGGCCTTCAGTCGCATTGCGCTCCATGCTACTTTTTCAATAAAGCTTCTTTTTATCCCTCTGATTTCTCTTTTAGTAAGTGTTGCTTACATTACTCATGTCCTTACGTATTGGTGATCTTACGGTATTAAATGTGTTGATTTGGAAAGCTTTTGTACAAAGTTATATTGAAAAAACCGTCTTGTCCTTAATTTTTGCATACCAGTTTATATCCACGAATGTGTTGTACGTTTGTGGTTTCAATAGATCTTCTAAACAAACAAGTTCAAAAGAACTTGATAAGTTATCTTGCTTCAAGTGATATTTAACTGAAGATTATGCATAGATTTTTGAGGGATATTCCTGTTATCCTGAGTCTCTAACATCAGAGCTTACAATATCGTTTTGCTACTGATAGTTCGGTTTTAATTGAAGCTCACAGCCGTGGCTCTTGCATCTCTCTTGCTCCTCCTGTGCAAATCTGACGAGACTTTCGAATGGCTGGATCTTAATTGCAACTATTTTGCAAAGATACTGCAGTTATTGATATACATTTATCTAGTATTTGAGTCTGGGTGTATTGGATTGGCTGCTAGCCTTTGTTACTCAAAATACGATTAGTACTGAGCTATACTGTTATCAGAACATAAAAGACAAACTATGTTATTTCATATCTAGGCTTGTCAATATCGAACAAGTTAATATTGCTGCATTTCTAATTACCCATTTTCCAACTGAAGCGTTCTTAACTAAATGCAAAATCTAAATTTGATATATCAGAAATTTATTTTCCGACGAAAATTATCAGGCCGCTATGAAATCAAACTTTGAGCATATAGAAGGAAACGAAACAAAAACTGAGACGATGTTGCTAAATTAATTATCTAAGAAAACCGAAATTTTATCAGATGTAACGATACTGCTTATACTGTTTTAACAAATTTATGTTTAGAAGTATATGTCTAAGATCAATATCGGTAGTTATCTTTTCCGAACACTTTGCTCTGAAATCATACTGCAGCTTACCATTCATATCTTCAGATTAAGTTGCTCATTACTAAAAACATTTGAGATCGCTTACAGGAAGAAATGACACGCGAAATGCTCATTTCGTCTTTGATGAGGCTTTTCTTAATCAGTAAGAACGTTGTACGTGCGAAATGTTCAGGCGTGTTTCTGAATGGTTAGAGAAGATAATATCCGTTTAGGATAATAATTTTAATGTAATATTGTAAATCTTGTAATTAATTCGGGCTTCTATTTAGCAAGATAAGAGTCCCATAATATGAAAATCCAGTTATACCAGTTGCAAATAATTGAAATTCTATTTATTTTCCTAACTGAAGTAAAATTGGGCTTATTTTTAATTTATTTAAACATTTTTAATTAATAACTAAATTTAGCAATATGTTAGTTTCGCAATTTTATATCAATTAAAAATTATATCTTAATTTTTATTCAAAAATAATAGATTAGCTTATTTCTTGTGTATAAGCTGAGACGTTTTATAGAGTCATTCGGATTTTTGAAGTTGGAAACACGAAAAATGGGCAGTGCTCTCACCGGAATTCAAACCTTGACCGAGTACGCGCCGAGTGTGCTACCGTTACATTACGAAGGCATGCAGAAAGGAAGGAGAAAATACCTTGTATACTCCCCCTTTTAAAGGGCGACTGGAAATTTTAAAAAATTGGACCCAGTAGCCAAATCTCGGTAGTGAAGATTCATCATTCATCATCTTTTAGCTCGGGCGCCACTGTAGAGTCATTAGGATTTTTGAAGTAGGAAACACGAAAATGAGCAATTTCCTCGCCGAGACTTGAACCTGGAACTCTCGAATACGCGCCGAATGTGCTACCGTAATACCACGAAGGCATGCAGAATGGATGGAGAAAATACATTATAATTTTAGAAAATGCTTTATTACTGAAGTTTGGGGATTCGAATACGAATATACGAATTCAAATTGATTTACTTATAATACAATCACAAGAATTATATTACAAATAAATGGAGAAATTTTATTTTTACTTTAATTAGCGTTATTCAAATTTCCTTAATCCTAACAATACATCAAGGAAATTTCTCAGTATCAGTATCCGACTAGCAATTTTCGGTACTTTTCAGTTAACGAGGCACCATTTAGCGCCAAACATAAACATTGGCACAAAATCAAACTAGATGGCAGCAATCTTAAAAAGTATACGTTAAGTATTCTGTTTTTTAAGCGACAGAGAATTGCACAAATGCGGCATCGTGCATAGCCTTGGTCGTTGTGTACTTTTAACATTGTACAGCTATTCATGAAGCGATATAAACAAGTTACCACATTTGGCATTTTCACGCTTATTTGACAATTAGCGTTCCATTAACGGAAAAGCATCGAATTTTTCAAGCAATTCTCAGATACCTGTCTTTGCTACAAGCAAATCAGTGTGAATGTCATTGTCCTCTATTTGATCATTGACATCGTTATCACCTGTCTCATAGATAACATTCCTTCCGTAGCTTCGTGACAAACGTGATAACGTTTAGTTAACAAATGTGACAGTTAACAAATGCGATAACTTTTAGTTTAGAATAAGCAGAATTTACTCTTTTTTGGGGGGTGGAGCGGCTTCGGATTTCTTTTGCTGGATAGTAGACTTTGAGGACTGGATTTTACTTGTGCAAGAAACAGGGAATCTCGTAGTTACTTGCAAATAATTTACAACATTTGAGGACCAAAATTCCTAATTCTTCGAGGAATTATCATATTATTTCTATTGGAGTTTTCATTTCAACAGAAATAGTCTTTTCGAGAAGGTCTGATGGGAAACTTCAAATAACAGATCAGAGGGTTTTTTTTTTTTTTTTTTTTTTTTTCCCCATGTCTTGAAAAAAATAAAATTGTATTTCTGCTCGAAAGAATGATGTAACGGAATTTTTTCTAATCCATTGGTTTTAAAAGTTATGTTGACTGAATCATTTTTCACTGAGTCTATTAAGTCCTCTTTGTAATATTTCATCAACACAAATCTGAGCTGATAATAATTAACTTCAGATCTCAAAAATTAAATTGGTGGAATTTGTTGTTTCGAAGCTTTGTAATGGTCGTTTCTCTTTCTAAATTATTTTCAGAAATATACGTTTACAAGTATTCGAAATTTCTTAGATTGGGGAATTATCGATAGATATGTTGTTGACATCAAAAGTAAAGTGGAAATTAGATTGGTAAAGAAGTAGTATTCAAGGAGAAATTGTACGGATTTTCTATTTTATAACTAATGTACATTCTATACCAGATTTCCAAGCGAACTGCAAATAATTTTATACTTAATAATAATAATCATTTTCTGAAGCGAGCCAAAAGGTTAGTGCAGAATTAACGCAAAATCTTAATACACTGCTTTAAATAAAATAATTTGTCTTCAGAGCGAATTCTTGCAATTGTCTCTCATAATTGCTCAATTTTTATATATTCTAATTTCATTCTATACGCAAATAACAACATATCATTTCACCTTAATAATAACACTTTAAATAATATCAAATAGATCCGATAAATGTAAAATTAATGTGTATCTTTACGTCTATTTCACATTTATGAATCTTATTAAAAATTAAAGATTTTTAATTTCGTATGTCTGTACAGTTTTAATGACTTTTGTAGAGAAACAATATCCTTCATTTGAAATATGATTACAGGCCGTGTGCATGACTGAATATCCATATATGTAAACGATTTTTTATTTTTGTGCTTTAATAGAGATTTACAGTGTTTAATAAGTAGGGATTTACAATCTAAATGCAATATTTTGGTAATGTTATTATATTCAATTAAATGTAAACGTTACTAATGCAGCAACAATACAATAAATTTAACAGCAGCTTGTTGGCAACTGTAATCAAAAGGACTGCATCGTATATTATCACATTTACTAGTGCTCTTAACAAATATTTAGTTACAAATACATCCCGGTCTATTAATTTGTTCCATTTACATACATTACTACTGAAGGATTTTTTTTAGCAGTTTGTATTAGAAACATTTTCCCTGCTTTTAAACCATAGCATCAATTCATTACCCGTTCATTTATATCAAGAAAATTAATGCAGTACTTAATTCCATTATCACTATCCGTCTAATTCCAAGTAGATAACATTTCCCCACCGGAAGATAGAAAAGGATAGCATGTACTATTTCTTCCCGAAAATCTCCTAGCGCTGCCTTCACGTCTTATATAGGCAATCTCTAATTGCGCCTCCCTCGAGATCCCAAATTGCTAATCACTTGACAGGATGGTACCAAATGATCCATCACCTGAAGGACCGATGGCCCGAGAGTGTCCTTGGAGACCTCGAGTCCCTGATAATCTCATTTGTAGTATGGGCACGACTTGCTAACAGTTGTCCATAGAACTTCATGGGTCTGTCTGGTACTGTGTAATACTGGAGGAAGGAAAAAAATGGAACGTGACTATATTACTGTAATTACTTGTTTATGGTAGCTTGTTTTGCCTTTCGTTTCATTTCCCAGAGTTTTACTTATGTGGCACTGATAATGAAGTTTGCCTGAGCTAGTTTAATATTAGGTGATATCTGGAATAAAAAGAGTGAAAATTCGAATAATTTTATTTAGTATTATAATTTTATTTAGTAAAAGATTTATTTTATGATGAATGGTTTTAATTTAGCATGTAATTTACATTTAGCATGTAAATTACATGCTAAATTAAAACCATTCATCATAAAATAAATCTTTGACAATATGGTGACAGATAGTAGATATTTATGGCTAAGACCAGTAATTTTGTTATTATTATCCAGACTCAAGCCAGTCATGTTTGTCTTGAATCTGGCACATAATTATCGAATTGAGTATGACGCTTGATAACCGAACTGAGTCTGCTGCATAGTAACCGAATAGAATACGGTGCATAATAATAACCGAATTTAGCCTTTTGTTTAGCCAAAAGGAATCTGGTTTGTGAATATTTGTCTAGAGTTTGACGCGTAATAATAAACTAAAAGCGCACGGTCAAAATTTACAATAAGGAAACTATCTTAAAAACAAATCAAATGAATATAAAATAACTATAAAATACATATGAAACAAATAAAATAAACATAAAAGACAATCATTACATAAAAAAGCAATTAAAAATAAATATAGGTCAATTACTGAAAAGAGGATAAAACTTGCAAAGACGTACATACAAATTATAAAATACACATGGTTAACAATTCTGAAAAAAAAAAAGGTGATAAATTTTAGTATTTCTTTAATGAATGAAAATGTATTAATCAGGTAAGAATTCGAATTTAAAAGTGTAATGATATAAAAATAAACTGAAAGCTAGACAGCACTGCAAAATATGTGTACAGGTATTGCATGCAGGATAAATCATTTTTCAGTACGGCTAAGAAAGCGTCAGGTCTAATGGAGCGTCAGGTCTTCAAACTGAAGAATAATATACAGCACCATCAAACAGACTTCCTTTCTTGAAACTCATCGCCAATGTTGTTGCAACGTGTGTCATTCCAAAATATTTTCTTCTTTAAATGAAGCCTATTTGCAGTCAGGATTCTTAACTTTCCCATAGTTAACACCAAAAATGTTACGCTGAAATCATATCTCACTGGTTTCACGATCTCAGGGTTCTTCCGGTATGCAGTCTGCCATACTGCGACTGTAACTTGATTCTTCTTTGAAATGAAAAAAAAAAAAAAAAATTCGTGTTCAATTTGTCATTCATTGTCCCCCTGTGATGATACGTGTAGTAACGTTTACTTCCGACATTAGCTTTTATTTACATTTACTTAAAATGTTAAACCATATTTCTGACTTACTCTGTACGTTTAAGTTCTTTTGTGACGGTTCTATTCTTTCTGTATTAGTTTTCAAGAATGAATGAAAAAAGAATTACATCCGATTTTGAAAACTTATTAAGTCTGAGTTATAAAAATATCGATGATTCATTTCAGATATCGATGAATGCCAGAATGCAACAATATGTCAAAATGGGCGCTGCATGAACACTATAGGAAGTTTCTTCTGCATGTGCCCTCCTGGTTACGACTTGACATCTGATGGAAGTAGATGTACTAGTAAGTATCAATTTTTAGCCTTGCAATATTTTTTTAATTTATCGATTTTATATATATATATATACATAAATATATAAATAAATAAATATATATATAATATTAAATTGGAATAAAATATGTATATATACTATATATATATTTGTCAAAATTATTCAACAGATTTTTTTGTAACATACTGGGTGGAACATTTTAAATGATTAGTATATTTGATATATCATAGCATCAGTGTTAGGAATTAATTTGTAGTTTCAGAATTTGAATAAATCATAAAGAAGTGTTGAATAATCTTCAAGAACCTTAGAATTAAGATCACGTACTTTTATCTATGTGACATCATAAGGTCACCTAAAATTTGTAACTTGTTCTAATACTCTGATAATCCAAAACATTAAGAAGAATGATATATCACGTTTGCGTCGGTTTGTGTCGTCATCTGTTTAGATTGAATTTATTGGATAATGGCAAAGCATATTATAGCTATCTGCGTAGAGGTGGAAAGGCCTATGTTGAGAACTTCCTATGTATTCATCATTGAGGACATATTATTGAAATAACAGAATGGAAATGATTTTGCACGCATTAGGGCTTGCTATGAACAGGTTTTGTGTAATCCCGTATGATGCTAGGCTTCTGTCACACCATCTGTTTCGGGAGGAAAACATTATGCAAAATATGTTTTATTTATTTCTTATTAGTTATAGAGTAATTTTATTTGTATTGAGCGAATCCTCATTCTTTAACTTGTAATGTTGCGCGCTTCCAACCTGCACGCAACAATAGTGGTGACTGCTAAGAACTGGAAAGTAGACAAAGTCTTGAGATGGGTTTAAAATCCCTTTTTATTCAACTTTAGAAATTACAATGCGTGCTCTTGACGCTCACAAACTACGCCGACCCGGCGGTAAAATAAAATAAGAAACTAAAAAAGAATAGTAACAAGTGACTAACTACGAGGCTCTCTAAACGTAACTAACCTCACCGCGCTTCTAAATACCGCTGATAATTCAGCAAACTTCTGAATATTACGTTGAAAGATTAACAATCTGCCGAGGGCAAAGCACACAGGCCGAAACGCGTGGTTCTTCAATTTCTAACTAGCCACCTCCACGCTCGTGAAGCAAGAAAGCACCCTTTCGAACTCGTTTCCCTTCTATTTAACTCATATTACTTCCGCTGACAATTTGAATCCTTGCGCGTTCTACTAAAATTTACATACTCTGGCATTGGCAATTCCAGAGGAAAGTAAAGCTTGACAAGAAAGATAGTTTTAACTTAAAATAAATGTTAGTTAAAATAAATATAAACCCTACAAACTGTTATCTTAATATTATTTGCTAATAACGAGTAAATTGTTTTCTAATTGGTATACTTAGCTTAAAATAATAACGATGGCAAATTCTGACAAAAATGATAAGTCTCCTGAGTTTTTTTAAGTGTTTTCACTGGTACTTATACGTTGTTTGCTAGTACGTCTATAACTACGAATTCCAAAATATGAGTTATACTCGTGATGAGGCACAGTACTTCTATAAAGGGCCATATGAGATTTTCAGAGATACTTCGATACATTTCCAAATACGTTGCTATTAATATGCATGTTATTTGAAATGAGAATAATAAATATATTAATATCCTTGGTTTGTAGCTCAAACTGTCTAAAGTTTCTCTTCCTTCTGCTTCCAGATATATGTAGAACGTCTTAACTATTAACAGACATTTTCCTTTAATAATTATGTAACTCACAATTAGTTTTACGTTAATGTATTATTTTGTACTCCATAGAATATGAACTAATGAACAGTAATGATGTGTAATATATTACTTAATAATACTGAACTACATTAAACGTATAGGGCAATGCACATAATATTTAGTTTAAGTGTTATGTTTTCCTTTTTATCGTATGTTCAGGAATGAAAATACTTCATCCAAATAACTTTCCGCGTGCCATATCATTTCAAGAACTTCAAGCAAAATTATGTTAAGCATGGGTATTTGAAATACTGTAGCTGTTATTTCCTGTGTTTATTTATTTTGTATACTATAAATTATTAACATAAAAATTTATAATCTATTTCAAATTTTATAATTAATGTTAATTCCAATTTATATTATGAACCTTAAAATGCTCTTTCAGATTTTCAGAATTAATTCAAAATGACAACTTAATATATTATTCATTTTGACTAGATTTAACATAACACCAACCAGATGAAACAAACTATAAAATTTCTGAATAATGAGCATAATTATTAAGAAAGGAGAGGAGAAATTAGTAAATTTTCCATAAATAACAATTGTTGGATTCTCGGTCTTGTTTTAATTACAAAAAGTACTGAAATACGTACTTCTTCAGTTGATAAATAAGATTTTCTCAAAACTTTCTGCATTTATCAAAGTTTGTTAGCTTTAATCAGTAATTCTTAATCCTAAGTCAAGTGTCAAACATTAAAGAACTTTTAATTAACAAACTCAACGATTTCAAAGCGAACAATGGCAACCACTGTACGAACTTTTTTTCCCTCTCCAGCGCGCGAGACTGTATATCGGAAATTCTAAAGATATGCTCTTTTAAATATTTTCTGATATTGCTATGGCAATAAATTTTATGGTTTAAGTGCGATGAACATGATATTTAATAAGTAAAAGTTAAAAACGTTAAAAAACGCCCCTTTGTAATATAAAATCTGAAATTTTTCAGATTTTTTTTTATTGTTTATTTATATATTATGTCGTCTATTTTAATCACATGTTACCAATTTAGGATTCAGAATATAATTTTCTCCTTGAAAAATAGAGCCGCTTTGTTAATACGGCTTCAAATGCGTGAAGCTTTTCTGTAAAATCAACGTTCAACCTAAGCTTTTGCCTAGTTATTAATTTCGACTTCGTATATATTAATAAGTAAAATATGTACTTTTCCTTCTAGTAGTTAGATTTTACTAAATTCGCTGTTTAATTAACTTGATTTAAGTTAGGTTAATGAAAGTATATTTTTAATGCAGATCAAGACGAGTGTTCTATAACGGGCATGTGTGCGAATGGCGTCTGTGTCAACGTCGATGGCTCTTTCATATGTCGATGCAACCCTGGTTTTCAGTTGTCCCAAACGAGACAATCCTGCATTGGTAAGTATTATTGTAAATTCTTGTAAATACTTTTTTATTTATTTAAGTTTTGTTTTAATGTATTGTTTGGATTGTTGTATGTTTTTGATTAATTAATTTATTTATATAATTAATGCATTTAACATAATTATTTTATGCTTATTGTGTACTTTATTTGGTGCTACTTTGGTAGGTGGTTGCACGGATTTTTGGCGATTTACGTTGGCGCAACTGTTGGCACGGTTTTTACAATTGTCAGCCATCTTGAAAAACGCTGTTTTTACGCATAGCAAAGTATTCGAATCTCAAAAAAAAAAGTAAATGTCGTTAAAAGAAATGGATTAATTTTTCGTTGAAAATGTCGTTTTTTATTATGGTAGGCAAATGTAAATAAATACATTTGCTATGTGTATAAAATACTAAAGTAAGGTTATTATTACTTTCATATAGCAAAGAAAGGGAATAAAAACACCGCTATAAAAACATTGTGCCAATGTTTAATTAGATTAAAATATTACTTAAATTGAATATCGAATTAAAAACATTATACCAACATTTAAAAGATTAAAAATATTACTAAATTCAAATACTTTAAAATACGTTATATAGAATATAATTAACATTAAAACATATGTGACAATAATTATCTCAGCAATTTTTGAAAATAGTGTATTAATTTTTTAACGAAAATTGAAGTATACAATTATAAAATAAAATAAAAATATGTAATTACATTTTTATGTCATTTAACCTGTCATTTATTGATAAGTACCACAAAAAAATCGGAATTATAATTTAGATATCAATGAAAAAAATTTGAAAAATGTAATATCAAGGGCAGGAATAAAAAAAAGTTAAGAAAAACAAAAGAAAAATGTAAATAGATAGAGCAATTTAGAGCCAAATTAATGGATAATGAAGACAAAGGACAATTTTTTATTCCGATACCAATTATTCTTGGTACTTACCAATAACAGCATTCATCTTTGAAACAGACGTCTTTGAAGGAATTCGAAGATATGAATTAAATTTTAAAATGGCGCGGTAATGCACAAATTTTCAGTAACCAATCAGGGAGCTGATTACAGCTCGTTAATGCACAAATATTCTATAACCAATCAGAGAGCTGATTACATCACGCCTAGAATTAAAATGATTTAAATAATCGTACATTAAAAAATCATTTTAAAAAAATGCAAAATTAAATTGTATTTTAATATTTAACAGCCATAAATAATGTTTAAAACATTAAAACTAATTGCTTTTAAAGTAAGGTGACGTCATTGTAAGGTGACGTTATTTCATAAAATATCATAAACAATAAAATTTTTATTTCAAATAAAAATTCAAATATAAATTGATTTTTAATATTTAGAAGCCATAAATAATATTTAAAACATGGAATTTATGCATAATAAAACGCATTAATTTTTAAATAAAATGACAACAAAGTATCGGTTACCATAAATAACTTATCCAGCAATGGGTTTACCATAAGTCGTATTACTCGCCAAAAGAAAAATGCCAAAATCCGTGCAACCGTCTACCAAAGTAGCACCCTTTATTTAATTTTTTTGGCTATCCTTATAGTTTTTTATAGATTATGTTCTGATTTTATGTTTGGTATATTCTGTATTATACTGAGTTGAAGTATTTTGCCGACTTACATTAGAATTCTAATGTTTTCAGCATTAGAATCATTTTTATTATTTTCAGTAATTTCATAAAAGATATTACCATAGTTTGCACAAACCGCAATATTGTGTCTATAATTATTGCAGGGAGCCGCAGCGCATGAACTAAAATTATCCTATTAGTAGTCCTATTGCCTCTGAACAATATCAAAATACGTCTAGAAAATTAGTGTCCGTATGTTATTTTTAAATGATTCAATTTTGTCCTGATGAGTAATGCACTGCTGTTATTTGAGAAGATAAATTTCTTACACTGTGTGGAGACAATCCCTTTCAACATGTTTTTTAAAGGGATTTCACTAGAGTATTTAAAATCCCTTATTTTCATACATACGAAAAAGAGTAATATTATAATAGAATATTTAATTCGCTTGCATAATAGGAAGCTATCTGCAAAATCTCCAACTCTATTTTGTTTAATAGTAGCCCACCGAAATCAGAGGAAAAAAAGTGTTTATAATGTTTGTTGTTGCTTGACTGCAATAACGTTACACACGTTTTTACAGTTAGCTCCCGATTAACTAAGGATTCTTTAAATAGTTTGCAGGTTTACCCAGCTTTGTCTAAAGAATAATTAAATATGTTCATTGAAACACAATGGAAAATTTATTGCCATAAAACATCAATGTAAAAGGTAACTATCTATGAAAAATACTCAGGAAAGTAGAAAGGTACCTGGTCTAAGAGTAGTGGAAGCAAGTGTAGTTATAGTAGTTGGAAGTTGTTTCTTTCCCACAGAAATCTGTAATTTACTTGTACGTAATCCGAAATACAGGAAAGTTGTACAACAAAGAAATTAAATATTCTAACTGAATATTTTGCACTAATTTTAACTTAAGGGCATTGTTCGCGTTATCTTGTAAATATCTTTCTTCAATGTCGTTTATTATTTAGTTTCGTTATTTCTAATGATGCTCTTGTATTTTTTTCTGTGTTAGAATACTGATTCAGTTTAAGTAACCAAATAAATATAATCTCCAAATTGAGTTATTTGAAAATGCAGGTAAATTGCTCATAATACTTTTGTATTAATCGCAATGTGAGTTATTTTTATGTGCTGTGTTTCTCAGCTGCCTTCGGAGTTGATTGTGTTTTTTTTTTCTTCTTTCCATGTTGTTAGTACCTTATTAATTGGAATTTGTCAATTGTGTTCAAGATGTTCAATAATGTTATACTGCTTTTTAAGATTCGGTATTGTCCGAGGCTTAAAAGATAAAAATCATCTTTTATTAGTTGTTGTAAATTCACCAAATTCTCATATCCGCGGAAGACAAAATTGTCATCCGCAGATATGAGGACACTGTTCTAGTAACGAAAAAATACATCGCTTTTAAAGGGGCGAAACATGGCGGAAATTCTGATTTTGAATGCTTCTGATAAAACAGATGTATTTATTCCGAATAAAATCTCTTTCCAACATTGTTTTCCTAAGAATCCTCTTGGTTTGGCTACCCTCCGGAAATCTTCTGAAATGTTCCTTTCTACGGCTTCTCGAAATTCTTTCTTGTCATATCCTCTGGCGTTCACGGTATTTGAAGCCTTGATAACTTGTCTGTTTGGTTAGACTTGCTTGTGGCTGTCACAGTTTTTTTTTCCAATCCAGTTCGATACTTCACGGAATGCTCACACGGAAAACAAATACGCAGTGCGAAAGAAAAAGCAATTTGGGGGCTTAAGGTAGTTGAGTCTGTCATTTATTTTATGTCATCCCACAAAAAGTCACAGTTATCAGTTACTAATGTTATACATGAATAATTCCTGTTATATACAGAACTAAGTTGTCAGAATGGATAAATTATGCAATTTATGCATTATTAGATACAGGTTGTTATACGGTTTATTTCCGTTAATATTATTCTCTGATATAGCAAAATTACACGAAAACAGCTTCAACATTGTTATCGAAATGGATCTGTGAGTATGTTACTGAATTTTACATGGTTCTTTTAAAGCCAAAATTCAAGTTAGTAAAATAATTAGCTATTTTATTTACGAAAACATCTCACCCAAAGAGCTAAACTCTTTTTATAAGAATTCTTTTTACTCGGTTCTAAAAAAATATATGTGTTAATAATATTAAAACATACGTATAAATGTGTGTATAGAATCATTCTTTAAGGAAATAATGTCTAAACTACGTTTTTTAGTATTTTAAATGGTAAGGCGCTATTCTTTTGTATCAGGCATATAGAGTCTTATGTCTTTTTGGGATCATAAATTGTAGACCGTACTGAAGTTGAAGTAACGAATACTCGCTATGTCTTTGAAGAACAAATACTGCAGAAGAAGGTTTTAAATGACCTGTTTATTTGAACTAAAATTTAACCCAATATGCACACAAATATACCCCCACTTGTGTTATAGTAAATTGAACAGAAAATAAAAATGTAAAATCACAATAAATTAGGATGTGTAAACGACTGGCACCTTATTTATCTAAACCGCTTAATTGGCTGCAAAGCCGATTAGCAAATCCAAGCTTAGAATATCAATATAATCTGAAGAGGGTGGCTATAACCAATTAGAGAGCTATTTCAAAACACGCAGCATAAACTCGGAACTAACTCCGCTACTACTCCTCACGAATTCGTGAAACCGCAGCTTAAATACTGCTTCTGAACACACTTAAATTTTGCATACTACGTCATTAAAGTTTACATTCCGGCAGAAATAAGGAGGGAAATAAAAGTCAAACTAAAAATAATTGGTTAGAATAAAATAAGGTCTTTGCAGGAGTTACCTTCTCTTCTCTCCCGCATGTAAAAGCATATTGGATTCACAATGTTTAGTTTTAACGTGGTTATATTAAACACCAAAAATGTTTCTACGCTTCGCTTATTGTTTATTATCATATTTTTCATTACAATCAGCACTGTCAATCGACTTACTTGTGGATCTATCAATAGTCACCGAAATTACCTATCAATGGAATTATGTATCAGTAGTAATGAACTATTAAATATTTTCGTTCAAATGGAGGCTGAAAATCTTCCACTTAATAAATTAGGCAATGCATTATAGTTCGGTGTAAAACTATTGCTAAGAGGAAACAACAATATTTCCCCGAGTAAATGCTACGCAAACGGGATAAATTACGCGTATAAAGTGATATGCATACGTGAAGTATTAATTTCGTGAAGATGTTTTACAGAAAATGTGTAGAAACTAAAAACATTTTTAAAAATCAGCTGATCGATGAAAGCAATGAGTTGTTTTACCTTCTGACGGAATCCATCAATAAACTTATTTTACTTAAAATTCACAAATTTAATGGAAACTTTGAAGCCATATTCCACCTCTTTCCTCAGAAATTTTTTTCTGTTGTTT